TCTGCTCAGGGCCGATAGCGCCTCTGTGACTGCTGCGTTTTTTTTTCGGTTTTGTTTTGTTTTTTTTCTGTGACTGGCGCTGCTACAGTCACTATGATGACGATCGCCCGAAGTCTGAAACGGTGCCGTCGCAATGAAGGAACGGGATCCTTCCTATTCGAGTCCTGGCCTCTGCAGGCCACGAAAACCTTAGGTCCTCTCTCTCTCTCTCTCTCTCTCTCTCTCTCTCGCTCGCTCGCTCGCTCGCTTTTTCTGTCTCGCCCCCGCCCACCCTGCGTACCGCCCCACGCCCTCCGCCAGCGCCCCCCCCGGCCCCCCCCAGGCTAACCCCCGCCCCCCCTCCTGTTCCGCCGCTGCCATCGGTTTCCCAACATTCCTGCGGACTACCTGGGGCGCTTCAGAGCTCTTTCGTTAGTTTTTTTTTTTGTTTTCCCCTTTGAGGTCATTATTTTATATTGGGATAAATTTTATATTGGGAAAATTTATCCGCCTTTAGACGCAGAATCCGATTTTCTCAACGAGAAATGCGGGTTGCAAGATCCTTCAGCCATTCAGGACATCGAACGGTCCCGGTCTTGATGTATATTTTAGGCAGTTTTGTTTTCTTTCTCCTTTTCTTTTTCTTTCTCTTTTGCGAACTTTCGTTCTTTCTTTTTTTTTCCTTCCCAACTTTTCCTCCCCCCCCTCCCCCCCCTGAAATTTTGTGGCCACTGTCAATATTGATACCGACGGTTTATAGCCGCGTGGTCCCGGTCGGGGCCGGCAGCCTCCGAAGTAGGCGAACGGTCCCTCCCTCCAGGTGATTCAAGCCTCCGTCAGGTGTACCATGTTGTTGGTTTTTTTCTTTTTTTTTTTCTTTTTTTTTTGGTGTACCATGTTGTTGGCGGGTAGTTCACGGCGAACGTGCACGTTCCTGGACTCCATCCCGACCAGGTTCGTCCAGGCAAATACGGATACCAACTGGCGGGTCCGACGATCCACTGCGTGAGAATCCATCCATGGTCAAAATGGCTAGAAGTCCTTCGGGACATCCGTTAAAACTGGAACGATACAGAGAAGATTAGCATGGCCCCTGCGCAGCGATGACAAGCATTAATCGAGAAATGGTCCAAAAAAAAAAAAAAAAAAAAAGGCTCGAACCCTCTGAGGGCATACACGCACTGACAGAACCCTGTTTTTTTCCTCCTCCTCAGCGGCAATTGTTTTTCTTTTAAGGAATCTGGACACGATTGCGGTACTGTACTCGCTAGTCAGATTATATTCCGCAAGTGGTGTGTTCCCAGCCCGTAGGCTGCGCCTGGCCCGCAGGGGGGGGGGGGGGGGGGGTCGATTATAGTGCATGACTTTTCTATTTTGGAGCGTCGACGTCTGAGGGAAAGTCGTGCGCCTAGCACCTAGGGTGGATGGATGGGTACTTCGTTTTTTTTCCGCCCCACTCAAAAATAAAGTTCCAAAAAAAAGAATTTAAGTTCCGATTTCACAAATTCAATGTGTTCTTTCCCCAACGCCTGAATCTGGACGTGATTAACGAAATGTGCAGAAATGGCGTTGAGTATCCTCAGCCGCACATCTCCACAACCCACATCCAGATTCAGGCGTTGAGGAAACTCAACGCTGTAAGTGGGACTTGGCCGCTGCACATGTCCTCAAAAACGTCCAGATTCCGGCGTTGAGGAAACTCAACGCTGCTATTACTATTAGTGGGAAGGAGATGGTTGACGTCGAATTTCTTTTTTTTTGTATTTGGTCGACGAAATACCACCGTCAAGGTTTTCGTTTTGTGTTTTTCAAAGCCCCTCCATTTTATTTACAGGGGCCCAGGTGCCCAAGGCAAAACGTACAGAGAAAGAAAAAAATCAGGGGCCGCAAGGTCTCCAGCCACTCTTGCCGGGCGGAGCCCCTCCCCTGTAGCAAGGTCTAAAAATAAGATGAAAAGAAGGTTGCAAAAGAGCAGTCCTAGAGCTTTTTTCTTTTCTTTTTTTTTCTTTTTCTTTTTTTTTATAGAGCAGTCCTAGAGCTAAATAGAAGACGAACAGTATCCACTACCGAGTCTCCATGTAGGAATAAAAAAACACCAAACGTTGGCCAATCGAAGGCGACAAAAGCACATGCTCCGGCCAAGCATGGGCAGCACATCACCAGTCTATAGAGAAGGGCGAGGCCTCGAAGGGGACCAAAAGCGAAGTCACCAGTACATCCATCAATCCGCACCAGGGCGGGCCAGGCAGCACACCACTTTTGAAACCATGGTACCGCCGCTTGCAAAGATGCAGCGGCCTCAACTCGGCACATCCAGTCCAGAGAGCCAATCTGTCGGAGGTTATGCTGGATACGGCAAAACGCTTGCTGGGGTGAGGGAGTCTTCCAACCCCACACCACCTCATTCGGATGTCGCCAGAGGTGCAAGAGCGCCAGAGCCCACAATGTTTCGAAAACCATACGCAAGCAGTTTGGGAAGATGGAGGCAAAGACTCCCCAGTACAGTAGCTTCATTGATCTACAGATTACCCCATTCTGGAGGGAAAGGCAAAGCTTGTCTGTACAAGGCCCACAGTGCCCCACACATATGCTGTGGATCTTCACCGATGGAGTCCATGCTACAGTCGGAGCAAAAGGGTCGGCCTTGTCGTCGTTGAGTCGACTCGACGTTGACAGTAAAGTATGGCCGCAGTAGGGACCACACCGTGTGAGTTTTGTTCAAGGACACTTGCAGCTCACATTTATTCCGACATTTTTTTAAGTTAAAAAAAAAACAAGAGGAACGAACTTTTTTGTTTAATTAGCAGAACAACTGAGGCTGGGAATTCCTCAACGACCAAGTTCAACCAGAAATGTGGGCAACGTGCTAGGACCATTACCCAGCTTAGGTGCAGGCGTTGGGGATTGAGTCCAGAGGCAGAGATCACCAAAACGAGACCGCTGCGGCGCTGCCCGGCTGCTGTGACTTTTATCAACCCTGGGAAGAAAAAAGGAAACCACAAGGCATAAAAGCCACACAATCCAAAAATTGAGACAACACACACAAAAAAAAAAATCAAGACCAACCAGGTCCCAAAGCCGAACAAATCAAAAGGAAACAAAACACACTGAAAGGACCAGGATCTTGCCCACGCCCGCTTCCTGGATCTTGCTGATGGGGCCAAAAAGTTAGATTTTCCTTCAGCTATCATCAAGCCCCCCCTATAAGGACCTCACTGAACTACTCACGGCTACTCAAGTCATGCGTAAAAGACGAAACAAATAGTGGTGCATCTTTCCATGTTCTGGCTGAAGATTCATTCTCATTTTGCACGTTTGGCGAGTAGTGCGGGCAAGAAACCCGTGAAATTCTGGACTTCACTCTACGGTTTAGAAAGCTTGACATCATACAACACCTGGTGGATAAGATGCTGATGTGTAGGCAAGGCCATGGCTATGGAATGTATGAACCGTTCATCTTTATGTTCGGCTCACAAGTGTAGTCTGTCTAATATGCCGAGGAATACCAAGGTCTCAGAATGCATCAGTCTGGATTTATGCTCAAATTGACTTAGAATATCGAAATGCATGGCCTCATGAATGTGTCGGCTGTGAATAACATTGTGAAAGTTAAGGACTGTACAGTGTACACTAGTTCTAAGGTTGCTTATGGGTTGGCGGCTGCCATCAGTGTCCTTTTAATCTGACTTTTTATCACTTATATTTGTTATCTTTTTTTTCTCTTTCTTGTCGGTTTGTTGGTCTAATAGTGCGCTCTTTGTAGATCCAGGAGTACGAATACATGTGACATTGTGAAAGGACTGCATATGTTTCTCGAGCACGCTGAGAGGGATGTATCCGGGCTTCGTCTCTCACCAGTGGTTTGCTTATCTGGGCATTGTGGTTGAATTTTGTAATTTTGTATGTCATGCAGGTATGGGCAAGATAACCAATATTTGCTCACGATCATTCGCTACAATTTATCATTTTTAGGTCAGTTGATATGGTATCTTAGAGCTGTGCTCTACTGCCACACACATTTGACATTGTCTCTCCTGTTACCTCGTCTTTCATGTAACATGGATAACACAGAGAGAGAGAGGGAGGGAGGGGGAGAGAGAGAGAGAGAGAGCCTGATGTGCGGTGCTGGATGACTTCTTTCTCCTATCTAGACTACTCTGTACTTGCTCTCCCCCCCTCCCCCTTTTCCTAAGTAGAGAAGGGGATGGTTGAAAGACCCATGAAGGCAGGATTAGGGGAGGAAGGATTGGCATGTGGACTGGGAATACAAGAGAACTTCGATCGAGGAATCTTGGAGTTCCAGCTGACATTGAGGTGTGAGATTCTGGGATACCAGGTTGCTCTAGATGAGGAGATAGGTGGTCGGGCTTGCTTCTGCAAGCGAAAGAGTAGAGTGAAGGATAGAAGCGGGAGAAAACATCAGTATGTTTGGGGAGGAAGGCAGTATATCGCAAGTAAGGGAGAAGGGCATCCATATCACAAGCACAACAAAACCAAGTACGTGCACTGAGATAGATTTCGGGCAAACATAGTGGTAGTCTGAGGCAAAGAGGTCGATTGTCGGTCGGTACTCCGGCTTAGGCAGCTGGCTCCAAAACCCCAATCAACATGGCCAGCCTCGTATGCGAGAGGCACAGTGACTGTTAAAGGGGAGCTACAAGAACAAGTAAAAGGGTTACCCCAAAGAAAGACAAAGTAAGGGTAGTGAAGAATTTCTAAGCGATGTAATGGATCTATTGTGCCCCATGTTGTTTGCTGTGGAGGTAGAACTGTTTCATTGTTGGACTGGGGTTCATCTCAAGTGTGCTTCATTGTCTGCAATAGAGGTAAAGCAGCTGTGATTTTGGATCTACTCCTCTCAGTGGAACAGGGTCTGTTGTGGTGAAAATCTAAAACACACACAAAGACCTTCCACCCGCTGCCGCACTCACTGGACATCTGACAAGGTGTGACTATATCTGTAAGAAAATACTCCCCCCTTCAAAGCTGTGCTGACCTGCTTGACGAGACATATGCTTGCCAGGTGCGCTCGCTTCCCCCAGCGCTTTGGCTAGAGGATGGAATGCCTGTGTATGCAGCAATGAGTGTCAACTGCGCGCTCACATCGCCATGACTGTCTTTTGCTGCATGCAACGTCAAGTATCAATTCTAAGCATGGGAAGCAGCAGCCTTCCATCCCTGATTGCTGCCAAGGAAGCTGGGGTTCTGGTAGGATCTCAGACTGCAATAGCCGACAATGTGCATGATGCTGAAGTTGCTGCCATGATTGATAGTGGAAGCCATATCGCTGCGGCTGTGGAATGTACACCACCACGGCTATATATTCCTGCAAGTGAGCAATAACGAGAACTGTTATCGAGCTAAGGGGGAGGCTATTCACCCAGCAGGCTCTGCCGTCTCAACCGCTCCCCTCGCCTGCGCCCTTCGCTTCACCATCCTCCTCGTCTACCGCATCCCCTTCGTCCTCCCCTTCCTCTTCTTCTTCCTCAGCTTCATCATCATTATCAACGACCGTTGTATGTGGACAGTATGCGGGTTAGATGTTCAAAGTATGCTAAGAAGAACGATTTTGCTTTACAAAGATGCTAAGTTAATTTCAACAACTCTGGATCTCTGAGATGAAATTATCGAGTCCTAAATTTTCGGAACAGATCGACTTGATATTGGAATCAAAACAGAAACTCAGAGAAAACCTGCTCCGCTGGTGTTGTGAAAATGTCACAGAAGAATGTCTCGGTGTTCTCGATACACAGGCCAGGAACAGCAACTACTGAGTCCGATCTCTGCAGTGGGGTAATAACTCTAGTGCTATTGGTCTGGATGTGCATCATTTGCGATATGCTTCCATCTGTGCAGCGTATATACGAGTGGTATCCCTGGCTTATCAGCTTCCACTTCCTGCATCTGGCCCCCTACTCCTGCCTCACTGCTGCCGACCTTCTCCTCTTCCGTTTCCAAAGCTCAGAGCTTACTCGTCTGACACGGCAGTGAGTTTAGACTTTCATCGCTAAGCGACTGAACCCTGGGAACCACAACCTTCCACCATTAGTGATAGGGTAGGACTATCCCTTCACCATATTCACTATAAGCTTGACAAAAATGACACACAGTCCGATCATTTGCCGCCGCCCCCAGCTGACGGTGACCTGTCCCCAGTGCATCTGTGAGGGCCATTGGAGTCATGCAGGCAGACGTGCCTGGTGGAGACTGCAGAAACCGGAATGGATCTCCCCCCTAGTGTGCACGTTGCGGAGTCTAGGGATCTCATTGTGCCACTGCAAGCCACTGTCCCTATTACGCTATTGATGCACGTCTCCTAGCTTGTAATCACAACCCCAATCCTATTTTGGACTTTGAAGACTGTCCAGCACAGCACCATAGTGTCTCCGCAGAAGATCTGTGCTGCAGGTGGTGTTAATATGGAAGTCATGACTATGGCATTGATAGAAAGGGAACTGTCCTAAATCATCTAGTCCATTTCAACTTTTGCAAACCAGTCATGGCTCTGCGGGATAATGTTAGACGCACGCACATCACTTGTCACATTAGTCGTTACTGTTGCGAACGGACCGTGTCCCACTCAGTTGCCTTGCTGATCAGGTACAGTGTGTGGTTGGTCGATGGGAGCTTGGATGCGGTGAAGCTCTGTCCCCTTTCGGTGACAATCTGGCCTACCCTCCCACCTTCCCAGTGTGTGATCAAGCTGCAGTACCTGCCTGGGCAGATCAGATAGATTCTGCCAGCGCTGACGGGAGTGGCCCAAGAAAGAACTGTCGCTGTCCGATTGCATTCTGCGCACATGCGTGTACAGTTCTGTTACCGTGTGCCCAGCGTGATCTCTGCTCTGACCACTGTGAAGGGGTAATCGCTGCCGGCCCCTGCCGTGGAAATTGGTTTCGGTCTTTGTCATGCACTCACCCTTCCAGTACTTTGGGACATCCGTTAAAAGTGGAACAATACGGAGAAGATTAGCATGGCCCCCGCACAAGGATGAAACGCATAGATCGAGAAATGCTCAAAAATTTTATTTAAAAAAAAAATGCACTCACCCTTCCCACCCACTTTTTAGCTGCCCAGTATGTTGTTGTGGCCTTGACATGTGTTGCTTAAATAACGACGTCGACTGAAAGTCTGGTTTTATTTTGGTATACCAACAGTAGGCTATGTGTCATCAACGGTTCTAAAAATCTGTCACAGACAACATTGCCTCTACTGCATGCACTTCTATTATCCTGGTCAGCTTCCACTACAAAGCTCACAAGGACACAATTATACCATCTAATCGGAAATGAAATGAAAGCGATCGGAAGGAAAATAAGAAGAGGGAGGAAGAAGAAGGAAGAACAGAAGAAGAAGAAGAAGAAGAAGAAGAAGACAAACATAAGCTGCCTATGTCATCTGTGTACTCGTCAGTGCCTATGTCATCTGTGTACTCGTCAGTGCCTATGTCATCTGTGTACTCATCTTTGTTTCCACACGTTTGGTGGTTGTCTTCTGTGTACTTGTCAGTGCCACCCTCAATTTGCATGTCCTCTCTGTAGCGAGGAGCTGGGATTGCAGTGCATATACCATTGCAATCACTCCGCCTGTGTGTTCTGCTCATGTTGAGTCCATGCTCGCTTTGATGTCTTTCTGTACCTTCCATTCGACACAGTGACTGTAACTGCAAGGATTGGATGTGGTGCTTCCGCAGGCCACACCCGAACCGGTCTTGCAGGTCCTGCTCCTTTGTCCAATTTTCTGCATAACCAGATCCATGAATGAACATTCTGGCGGTCTGTTGTGTGGGTGGGCTCCTGTGTTTTCTCTTTCTTTCTCACCCCCTTCCTCGCTTCTTTCCCCCTTGCCTTTCTCATTCTCTCCTGAGTCTCTCGATCTCTTCTTCGAGCAGAACTGCTAAATTCATACAAATGACCACCTCTAAACAGAGGAAATATAAGGTCCAAGTGTGCTGAGCAGCGAACAGGTTTGTTGGCATCCTGCATTAAACAACACAGACATGACAGGCCTTGCAGCACGCAAAATACCGCAGTGAAATGACCGTTTCAGTAAAATATAGCAATCGTTTTCAAATATCACATGGTAAGGCCGTTCCAAAGAGGATACCGATCCATCCCGGTGGGAAAGGAGTCGCTGTGGTGAATTTTTTTGAAACACACACACAAATGAATCCTGGGCAGACTGCCGGGGTTCAACCTCCTGATGAGTCGGTGAAAGTCCGACGAAACAGTCTGTTACAATCATGCTTTTTTTGAGTGTATAGTGAATATGACAGCACACAGAAAACACAGAACTTATCATAATCCCTATCAATTGATGATGCTTTTCCAAAACGTCTCTCTCTCTCTCTCTCTCTCTCTCTCTCTCTCACACACACACACACACACACACACACACACACACACAGAGAAACGTGAGAGATAGGGATAGAGAGAGAGAGAGAGAGAGACGTTTGTGTGTGTGTGTGTGTGTGTGTGTGTGTGTGTGTGTGGATGCATGCATTGTATGATTCCTTGTACACTGAAGGGGCGGATGCAGTAAAGTATGTGAAAAGCTTGGCCTCAGGCTGCCTTGTTTAGCCAGGCTGTAATGCAGGCTATGCAGACCTGCAGCTTCCTAGTTTTTTGCGAAGCGATAAACTTCAGGGGTTGAATCTCTGTCTCATTTCAGAATTCTTTGAAAAACTGCCTTCTTTTTCGTTGTATGCCTCAATCTAAAGAGCACATGTCCACTCCTGTGCCCAAGTTCAAGACTGGATAGTGTTACACAAGAGGGAATGGTCTGGCTCTACTCTTTGGTTTGGTGGTGGATTCGTGTTTCCTGCTTCATCCACAGTGATCTGTTCAGAGCTAAGACGTCACTGCTACCGTCTTCACCTGAACAAAACACCCTGTCAGTATAGCTGTATTTGGGCCAGCTTTCAGACCAGATGCAGCGATAATGACCGGGAGTGGGCGTTTTATTCAGGTGAAGACGGGTATTTCACAGAACACAGCGGTTCTCTTGTCTGAAGCAAGACCCTTATCTCAGGTGGAGGAGGTAGGCTGGTGATTGCAGACAGTAATTTACTAATTTCTTACCGTAACCGTATGGATTTCTTGCTTCTCATGGCAGGCCTTTGCCGGGGTCTTGTCGACATCGAGATCATTGATGCGAAGAACCCAAAGGACAGGTTGATGCTTAGCGGAGGTGAGGATGATTGCACATGTGGACAAGTTAGCATGTCACAGATGGTCGTGTCGGCCAGAAGCAACACAGGCAGCAGAGGCGGCATGTTGAGGGCGGAGTGCTCGGTACACGGAGGGGCCAAGGATGATTCAAGATTACCTATGGAGGCTTACAAAGATTCCACGAGTGCTGACCGAGAGGAAGGCCAGGGGGCAACTGGGGATCCGGTTGTGGGGCTGAGCTTGAGGATGGAGAATGCGACAGCTTCACACGGGTGAGTAGGTGATTGGTTTTCTCTCTTTCGGAAGGTGCTTTTATGAGGTCAGTGCTTGTTTCTTATATTTCTTCTGCACACTGCATACGCTTAGCTATGTTTGGCCAATGATTCACATACCGAACCAGTTTTAACATGTGCGATGCGGAACGCGCGGAATGCTAGCCTGACTGTTTTACCATTAGCCCGCGCTCTATGCCTCTCCTCAGTTACAAACTATAACCATGCCAAGTGCTCACAACATCCCACGAACAGGGTGGACCTACAGGGATGGGAAAGTCATCCATGCCTCCGCGAGGCCGCGTAGATTGACAAAGGGAATGAAGAATGAGAGGAAGGGGTGCGACTAGAGGTCAAATATGCACAAACGGTAGAATGAGAGGAAAGGGTGAGACTAGAGGCCAAATATGCACAAATGGTAGTCTTTCTTTATCTGATCTGTGCCCGGGTTGCACCCCCCGATGGTCGGCGGCCCTTGACTGGTCGGCACCTAGCGGTCGGGTGTCGTTGGCACCCCGCAAAAAAAAAAACACTTTTTTTTTTCGGGGGGGAGGGGTCCTGAACTCCTAATAAACACCACCAACACCCCCATAGCGGCCCCCAATACCCCCGTGCACCTTCCCAACACTCTCAAACCGCCCCCAATTCAGCAAGCGCAGTACAGCCCCCAACTCAGATTGGAAAAAAAATCAGTGGATGCACTGCATGTTTTTTTTTTTGTGTGACTGGTCGGCAGACTGCGACCGGTCGGCCCTACTGGTCAGCTGCAATATGGTCGGCGGTCGGCAGGGGTGCAACCCTGATCTATGCTAACTCTACGGTCCGGAGCACGTGATGTTAAGTTAGGTTCTAAGGGAAAAAAAGAAGAAAAAAAAAACCATTCCTATGAAGTGGCCAGCTTTTTTTTTTTTTTTTTCTGACAGGCTACAAGCTAGGAAACTTTCAGGTGTCGGCTGGCGTTTTTCCGAAAACAGAAAAGGAAAAAGAAAAGGATACTGTCAAGTCTGTCTGAAGGGGCTGTGCAGATGAGTAGGTGATCTGTATCAGAGGGCGGGCCAGATCCACATGCATCCACAGACTTCATTTGTTTCTTTTCTTAATCCATGAAATTCTTTCTGTGGCCAACCCCAGTTTTTGAGTGTGCCTCGTTGCAGTAGCTTCACAAAAACAGGCCCGGCATACTGGTGGTTTGATACTTGCTCAATGCTCATGCCTCTGTGAGACTACTACCGTTTGCCTATCTTCTGTCATCGCTGCCGTTTTTCTTTCCTCGTTTCATCCCATTGGGAGTCAGTCGGCTGAGTTTTCAACCTTGCTATTGCATTGTCACTTCTGTTATGGCCACTGCTCTTTTCAAGTTTTTTGACTGGGCTATGAGATTTCCAATGCACTGTTCTATAGTTTTCTTCTTTTTTTTTTGAAATTAGTCATCCTGGCACAGGGGCCATGGTAAACTTCTTTTTTCTTTTTTTTTATTGGTGGGGCAAGCGGCACTCTGCTGTCGCGCAATACGGAAGCAACTCTGGAGGAATCAAGCATATGCAAACATTACCCATGGGACCCCTCTGCACAGCTGAATTTTTTGAATTACTATGAATTTTTGAAAGTAGTATGAACTTATTATGAAGTCATGAACCAGGTAGTAGGAATAAAGGCAAACTTGGCAAATGACATGAAAGCCAAATTCAGCGCGGTGATGGTGGCTTAGCTTGTGCATCATTCGAAGCGAGACGCATCAGGCTGCTTTCCTTGCTGGTTTGTTGTTTGTCAAGCAGTGAATACTACCTTCTTCCCCCCAATACAACGTACGCCGTACGGTCATTATAGCTGTATTGAGACTGCAATATACCCCACTTTCAGGTATAATGACCGTATGGCGTACGTTGTATTCGGGGAAAGAAGGTAGGTGCATTGAGGAGCAAAAAGTTAAAAAGCCATTGTTTGTTAAGAACTTAAGAAGAAAAGTTTGAAGTCTTCGGAAAAGCGTACACTCTCTGAAGCGAGAGTTGATCGAGGTGGCATATGATGCAATGGTGCCGCGGGTCGAAATTGGTCTGCACGAGTGTGCTTTTCTAAGTCGGTAGGACATCAGTGAGAAGGTCTGGCTCTGTCGGGAGGAGCATGGAGACTGGCAACACAAAACTGAAGACTGGTATTGTATGAACTGTGACAGGGAGCGTCGACTAAGGGAGGCAGAGGATGCACAATGCAATGGAGTCGATGTGGAGGAGGAGGAGGGGGTTCCCACCCATTACGAGCAATCTGTTACCAGCCGGGTCATGGCTAAGGATGGTGGGATGAATTTAAATGATGATGCTGCTCATTTAAATGGCTATGTCAGAGAGGAGGAAGGCTGCGACGTTCATTCTTTGAGCGAGGCGCGGTACGAGCCAAGACCAGACAACCTTGCGTGGGGAAATCAATGGTCTAATCCAGGGAGCGAAGACGAGAAACTGGTATTGTCGGATGGATCCTTGGACAAAGAAAGGTGGAGAGTGATGCAAACTGTGGAGGGGATTCGAAGGCCACGACACATGTTCCTAGATTTAAATGCCGATGTGCAAGGCGAAGAAGATCCAGGAGGGATTGACAGCTCAGCGCAGGGCCAAGGGTTGAGGTCTCCCGAGGATGATGATGATGCTGCAGTGCCTTTAAGGGTGCTCTTCACACGGCAGGTGATTCACAATCAGGTAGAGTGAAAGCCTATTTGGTTTCATTCTCCCATTTCATATATTTTCTACCTTCCGTATAGGATTGGCCTTGTATGCTCTGCTTCCTCTATCCTCTTTATTCAAGTCTATTACCTTCGTTTGAAACACTTCCTCCCAGAAGATCGCCTACTTTCGAGGTAGGATTTTTTTCTGTTTTTTTATTTATTTATTTATTTTCACCCAACCGACGTGGCTGAATGGTACACACATGTAACTGTTAATAAAAACTGGTCACGAGTTCAAGATTCGAATCCATATGCAATCAGATGGATAGAATAAGGCTAGATGCTGCTACTCCGGAAAAAAAAAGGGAGAAAAAAGGGGGGGTTCTTGTGGGTGGTGTGAGTCAATTATGTGAGGAAAGCTCGACCCTCTTTCTGGCATTTTTAACAAGTTCGAAGTTTCTTAAAAAAAATTATCCCGTTCCTAATGGCAACAGGGAAAAAAAAAAAAAAAAAAAAAAAAAAAGAAGAAGAAGACTATAGAAGAACAGGGCAAGGTTTACGCCGTTGATGATCTAATGGTGATGCAGTGGATGCACCAAACTGCACCATTCAGTCAAACAGACTGATATTGTTACTATCATTTTCTTCACTCTGTCCTTCATATGACAATTTGCAAATAAAGGTGACTATTGTGACATCTCTACAGGATTTGAGCATCGTGAAGATCCATGTACGTCGTTGGCATGTTATATTGGTTCTATACAATCATACTTCCAACCGCACGAACCGCACATTTGTGCGGAGTTCCGTGCGGGGGGTGCCTGTGTGGAATCACGCAGTTTTTTTTTTAATTATTATTACATTTCTTTTTTTTTGGGTGGAGGGGGGATGGGGGGGGCCGTATGACAGCAAGCTGGGGATATGGCGAGTAGAGGGGAACATGGAGAGGAGGAGTAGGATGTTGACGAGGAGGACGACGACGAGGAGGAGCAGATATGGGGGAGGAGAAGAGATGGACGGATGGAAAGAGGAAGGGCGGGAGGAGGACGAGTGGGAGGAGGAGGAGACATGGACGGAGAGGAAGGGGAGTACATGAGGAAGGTAAGGAGACGAGGAGGCATGGAAGATGGCGAAGTACGAGGAAGAGGAGACAAGGAGGATGAGGAAGGGCAGGAGGACCAACAGGAGGAGGAGACATGGAGGGAAAGAGGAGGACGAAAAGGAGGAAACGAAAAGGAGAAGGGAGGAGGAGACATGGAGGAGGAGGAAGGGGAAAAGGAGCAAGGTGAGGGGGTCTCGAACGCACTGTTTTGACCCCCAGCCTTCTTTTTTTTCGGAGGGGGGTGACAGGTCGTTTCCCGCACATGTCGTGCGCCGCACGTCGGGAACTGCCCGCACGAGGTGCGCTTGCATGTATGGTTGCAATGCTTTGTGGTTATTAGCTGAATACCTAGGGTACCAGGCGGGCGGCCTGGGTCACCCTATTTTCCGGGGTGCCCGGCCGTGCAAGGACCAGGGAAGGTCCCAGCCAAAAAAAAAAAAAAAAAAGGTCCAAAAAACTGAAGAAAAACCATGTTATGCAGAAAAAATAAACTGAACGACTTTTGCCTCAGGGTCACATCGAAATTCTTTACCAAATTTAAAATAAAAATTTTAATTAAAGATTTATATTTTTTTTCTACTTTTTTATAAATTTTTTGCCCGGCTGGGCAAGTTGACCCGAGCCACTTTTTTTTGCCCCTGATTGAACTGATTCTCTATTTCCCCCGCCTATCCCCTTCCCTCACCCACCCTCGGTGCCTTGTTTTTCTTTTCTTTTTTCCCTCATTGTTTTCTACTGTGCTTTTTTCTATACACATGAATGAATGAAAACACTTTCTGCTTGCCGGTAGTAACTTAACTGGATTACCCCCCCCCCCCCCCCCCCCCCCCCCCCGAACAGATAGGGCATGTGCTCATGTAAAAAAACAAAAGAAATGCTTTTTTTTGCCCCCCGCCTCTTGGTCACTTTGCTTTACACAACTTTCTACTTGAAGAAAAAAGGAAAAGCATATAAAGTTTTTATAAACTTCAGGCTATGGCTCCTTTTTATTCTGAGCAGCACCAATCTGGTTCCTTTTCGACGGGCATGTCGCAAAGTTATATGATAAGCTGATAACGCACTCTCGCACTTCTCCCCATGATGGAGGCTTTGAGGCTTTCTACTGTGTTACTGCTTTAAGGCCGTTAATTTTGTTGTCTTTTGTTATTTGCTGTTTATCGGTGTAGTACAGGTGCTGGAGAAGCAACTGCACGAGGTTCGGGATCATGAAAGAAAATTATTGGAGAGAGCTGATGACATGGAAACGCAGGTAAGCACGGTTTGGTTGCCCAACTTTGCCCAGACCACACAACTTTTGCCCGCTCAGACGTACGTACAGGGCATTTGATTATTCACAGAAGAAAAGTGATCGTCTTCAGGAATCCGTTTGCTTCTTTTGTGTTGTGTTGTTGATAGTTTTCTGTTGTGTTTTTGTTAGAGTGGACGAGTGAGTCCGATGTTGTTGCGTTTCAGTCCTGCCGATGACCGCTCGACAAGTTTGTCCCCGCTTGACCTCTAGCTGCTGACCAGCAGGTAAGTGTATACCAACTCTTCCCCTGTCCATGGTGTCCTCTGTCACATGGGTCTCCTCGTTCAGCACCACCTTCTTTCGTCTCAGTACCGCACAGCTACGGTGCCGACCTTCTTCCCCAGCGCCCAAGCTGCGATGGCATGGCTGTCACCCTGCCAGTGCCCAAACTGCGAAAGTGTCAGCCTTCTTCCCAGCAGTCAAACTGCTTATGGCACCAGCCTTAGTCTTCTCTAACAGCCGATCCGTCACTGGCACTGCATGCCAGCTGATGCCAGTCCTTCCTCCCCCTAGCACAGCTCAGTGTGAGCGCCCATCAGTCCGTTGGTCAACTGTGGCTCCGACCACGATGACTGTGACTTACTTCAGCCTTCCGGAAATACTTTGGTAACCTGTTTAGTTGGTAGGCGCTGCCTCTCAGCTTTGAACTTGCCCTGCAGGGTCCTGAACAGCCTGGGCGGGCCCTATCCCAGGCCTGACTGGGTTTGTAGTACTTCGTACCCCTTCAGGCCTGTATCCAGGGCATGGGAATCTGCAGCTTGACATCGTGTGGTCTAGGATAGAGCAGGTGGTCATTACCGTCGTCACCCGAATAGAATGCTGGGTCATTATGGCTGCATGTGTGGACTGAAAATTGCCCCAAATAGAGCTGTTGTAATGACCAGGCGTTCTATTCTGGTGAAGACTGGTACAGAGACGCAGAGAACTGTTGTTATTAGGCATCATAATCGAGGCCTCAACAAGGGACCTCAACCGTGTACATTCTTGTGCTCATGTGATCATCTCTCTCTTTGTCAATTCTGCCGATTGCCTTGCTGCCATGTGAGAGTTCGTGGATGGTGCGTGTGCTCTGGTTTCTCCACCAACCAGGTTCCTTGCGTTTACTGGAGCTCGGGGTTTCTAGTAGTTGCTGGCACGTGAGAGTTCGTGGATGGTGAAGTGAGAGTTCATGGATGGTGCGTGTGCTCTGGTTTCTCCACCAACCAGGTTCCTTGCATTTACTTGGACCTCGGGTTTTCTAGTAGTTGCTGGCCACACCTGTGCTTTGGATGCATGATTCCATTCTTTCAGATTTACTTTACGATCGCACGCGCTCTGGATACCGTTGAACGCTTGCACGCCTTGGTGAGTATACCGCAGAACATGAGAGGACTCACAAGGTGCCGGTTATCTCACAAAAATAGACAATGGTGTTGGTGCGTAAGGACCGCTGAAGACGCACATAACAATGCTTATCCTAACCTAAAATAAGGTTAACAGCTTGACAAAGTCAGAAACAAAGGAATTCTTTCTGAGTGCAAGATTATGTTGGCATTTCTTTATATATATTTCTGGATCCGTTTGCAGGCACAGCATTGGCAGGCAGAGGCTGTAGCTCACTCTCGGAAGCTGAAGGAGCAGCTGGAGGAGCGAAATTGGCTGATGCGAAGCAATACGCAATTGCAACACACAGTAAACAAGCAGAGGGATGACTTGTAAGATGAGACCTTGGAAGCATGTTTGAACCTGCATGACATGAAGTTTGACGCGAACAGACTTGAAAGTTTAAACTTTACAGTTGAAACCCTTTTTTTGGAGGACGGATGCGGTGTGAATTCAAATCAGTAGTATCTGAGTTTCTTCTATTGCGTCGTTTGCATACCTCAGTTCATTTTCACTGCTTCAAGAAGTCTACTCACACTTGAAATTTTCTGAATGTTCCGGTCAATGCCACCATTAGTTTTCTAATGACATCGGACTATATCTTCAGCGAGAGAGAGAGATAGAGAGAGAGAACCTGTGTCACAGCATGACATACATATATGGGTTGTTTTAGTGCATTATTACATTATTATTCTATGTAATATCACATATTATTATGATATTAATAATATAATAATATTAATAAATTAATATTGTTATATTAATATTATATAGTGCAATTTGAAACGGAGTCTGATTGCAAATTATGCAATGTTGTTTTTTTCTTATCTTATATGGTTGCTTTGGCTGCAATCGCTGCTCGTCGTGGATGTATCTGATGCCAATCACATTCAGAGATCACTCTAAAAGACTCTAAAAACTTCCGAGAGTGAGTATTGCCGTTACTCAGACAAAATCGCAGATGACTCCTCCAGTGAATCTCTTACCTGAATCAGTCCTGATGCCCACGCATACAACATGGGCAGCTGTGCCTCTTTTTTTTTTTTTTTTTTTTTATAGTCTGTTTTCACCTCGTATGGGGAACAGCTGTATTTTTAATTTTTTTACTACCCTATTTTCTTCTCTCAATTTTTTCGTACTTTCCTCACACTAGCTACCCTGCTTACACATGTATCAGCAAACAACCTACCATCCCCCAGGGCAAACCAGAACTGCAACCCAAGGGAACCAAGCACAGAAAATCTAGTTTACCCACCTTCTAGATTTGTTAAGGGGCACCGACCTAGCTAGCAAGCAACCTAGCTTAAATTTCGTAGCCTAAGCTTAAGCAAGGCTAGTGGGTGTAGGGAATCTACGCCTACCGTCTACCTAACCCTGCTCAGTGCGGGGAGCAGTAGCGATGCTCCTAACACCTGGCATCGGCTGGAAAGATCAGTCACCACTTCCACAACCAGCCAGGAGGGTCAAGCCGACTATCTCAATCAGTGGGCTTGAAGTATGCCACACAGGGGACCGTGGGGAGTCAAATGGATGCCGTGGGGAATCGAACCCACGACCTCCTGTGTACCACTTACGTGCTCAAACCAACTGAGCTACGCCGCTTGGCCCTTCTTTTTCCCTATTTGTTTTCTTGGTTTTGAAAAGTTTGGACAAGTTGTACACCTTCGGGGTAGGGCAGTTGGCATTTCAGCTCAAGAGCGCAGGTACCAATCCACCTCACCTCAGATGTCAGAAGACTTGTCGTCGCACACAGACAAAATCGAAAGACAGACGATACCCCATTAAATGCCCTGCCCTGCTCCTGCAATGATAAATCGCCTGTCACCCAGACCCAAAAAAAAAAAAAAAAAGATAAATAGCTCGTCACCCAGACCTGGATTAGAAACAGTAAAGTGATTGAGTGCCTGAATTGCTTCCACTGTTTGCTGGGTGGTTTTTCTGAGACTAAAATACAGGTCTATCTGACCCGGTCCAACCCCCTGCACAGTGCACACTTTTTTTTTTTACTAGGTAGTAGGTACAGCACCGGGACTTCCCAGGAGGTCACCCATCCCAGTACTATTCCGGCCCAACGGCGCTTGGCTAAGAATTTGGACCATTTCTCAATTTATGCATGTCATCTTTGCACAGCACGCATGGTAATCTTCTCTGTATCGTTCCAATTTTTCAACGGATGTCTCGAAGGACTGAACAGGGCACAGTTATTTCCAGGCTTAAGGCATTTGTCAATTTTAAGTTTTTAACTTTTAACGCAAGTCTCGAACGGCTTAAAAATTTTCAGTTTGTCTCTTACTGTGTCCCTCTCCATGCATCCATCTGTCTCTGTTTACTTCTGCGTCTTCCTCGGTGTCCCTTTCTATGCCTCTCTCTGAGACGCCCTTGCTTTGCTTGGGTGATGTGGAAGGGCGGATTTCATTGGGATGGTGGGTGAGTGCTTCTCTGTGATTTAGTCCGGTGTGTTGCAATCAAGTCGTCTGGTCATGGCTGTCTTTGGTGTCTGAAAGAGCAAATATCGAACGAGTTGGTTCCATAAGTCGTTGGTTGCATAAGTGACGACCGCATGTCATGGCTGTCTTTGGTTTCTGAAAGAGCAAATATCGAACGAGTTGGTTCCATAAGTCGTTGGTTGCATTAGTGACGACCGAATGTCAACGACAACATGCAGGGAGAAATTGCAAGCTAGGGAGTGCCAAATGATAGAGACCGTTAACCGGCTTAAGGCCAGGAATCAACAATTGGAGGATATAATGAAGGAGTTTCAGGACCGAAACTCTAACAGTGGTAAGTGGTGATCGGAAGATGTTTGGACCCATCAACTATGTGATTGCTCTTCATTGCTTGCTCTTAATAGTCCTCGATTGTGCCCGATTGCACCTGGTTGCTCTTGTCTTTCGCCGATTTGGGAGGGGTCTCCGGGGGAATGGATCCAAAGAAAGGAAAAACCAGTACAGCATGCACTGAAAGAACAAGGGGAACAGGGGCAACAAGGACATGGGAAGGGGATCGGTGCTGAAGGGAAGGAAAGGCAAGAAGTGAGAATCCCAGGAACAAGAAAAGAAAAGGTGGCAGACTTCAGAGATGGGAGACGGCATAGATGAACGGTAGAGGACAAACGATGTAAGACATGTCCTACAACTAAGAAATGGACTCTCTCTCTCTCTCTCTCTCTCTCTCTCTCTCTCTCTCTCTCTCTCTCTCTCTCTCTCTCTCTCTCTCTCTCTCTCTCTCTCTCTCTNCTGTGCATGTATCTCCCATTAGTCTTCTATGAGTGTGTGGAGGGGCCTTGAAAAATAAAAATGGCCGTTCCTGTTGCTTGGGGATTGCTGCGGTATTGGACTGTAAGAGTGCCTCCGTGACCGCAGATGTATGAAACTGGGAGGCTTGTCTTTGCACCTGATGGCTTTTAAGTTTTAACAGATCGCAAAGGCTGACGTGGTCCTGAGGATCTTGCTCAGTGAAGCATTTGTGGCTTGAATCTGACCATTACCGTGGTCAGATACATGCTGTGAAGTCCTACTGTGAGTAATGCTTTATAGCCTGAGGTCTTGCAAGGGCTGCATGCAAATCTGGGTTGAACGGCCTCACTAGCGAATACGCTTAGCAAAAGCTAGCAGCCTAACGAACTCTTTCGCAGACAAGAACTCGGAGACAAGAAATCTGGAATCGTGTTGGGGCACACCAGGTCATGGTGTTAGCCATGCTGGGATGGGTTTTGGGGTGGAGTTTGCATCAATGGGATTCCACTTTCATTCCAGTTCACTGTGCCTGTAAGTTGAGGGGCAGGGCCTGCTGGTGCTATTATTCATGCTATGAAGAGATGAGCCTGGCCACTATTACAGCCAGGTTCATGGTTTTCTTGCATGAACATAGCAGTAGTGGGGACTGGGTCAAAGTGTTCAAAAGTTCAACCTTCTCTGTGGCACGTTTGCAGGTTCGAGTAGTCGTGGGGTGAGCAATGCGGACTTTGGAGCTAGTCTTCGTCTTGTTAAAAGGAAAAACAGAAAAAAAAACTTGAAAAACACCTATGCAACATCTCACGGAAGGCCAGACATAACTGAGCTGAGTAGAAGAAGAAAATGAAAGCGAAATGCATACCAAATAACAGCGAGCAATGCACCGAACTGTCTTGAATCTTGATACAGAAAGCTCTTCTTCTGCCTCCAATCATCAAACTCAACCTCAATGCAGCACTCCTACTGGTGGCCTGTCCACCCATCCTACTTTCCTAGTTCCTACAAGTCTAGCCCATCTAAATGGCAGCTGTCTGTCCACGTGTTAATCGCCCAATGCCGCTTGAAGATTCTGCTCACACAGGTAGCCTTCGTCAACACCAGGTATGTGCTCTCTTATCCCCACTGCCTTCCTCTCCTGCCGACCTCCACACTTCCACCATCCAGCAAGCTTGCCCCCAGCCGGCTATGGCTGGTGCCTTGGTCTCTCGCTGCCACAGCAGCTTTCTCCACGGGCGTTGCGCTCAACCTCTGCTCAAGCAGTGCTGCCTCAATGCACAGTGCCCGAATGTATTGTGACTGGGTGGCCTCCTCTCTCTTGTGCTCGCTGGGAAAGCTGCACCCAGGCTCATTGCAGTCCCAGTAAGCAATGCCCGAGTCCTGATGGGTCGGTGTGGGGACCCAGCCCGCTGAGGTGTAGCTGGATGATTGCGTTGGTTGTCACTGTATTATTCCCATTTTGCAAGTTTCGAAGGCATATGCTTTGGAAAGACCTTACAAAATCAGCACCCATCCCTGATGCTATACTAGCTATAGTTCACACACCTGCCTTTTAACACGACGCTGTGGAAAGGCTTGGCCTACTAGGCTGAAATGGCTGACGGCGCGAGGTAGCCCTTGTTCCCCCGACAGTTTTGAATGTGAAGGGGTGTACCGTGGACAAAAATCTGGATCGGGAAAGTAGACTGAACACGACGCCAAGGCTTGGCCTACTAGGCTGAAATGGCTGACGGCGCCTGGTAGCGCTTGTTCCCCCGACAGTTTTGAAAGTGGTGTACCGTGGACAAAAATCTGCATCGGGAAAAGAGACTGGGAGGTGCTGGTGGTTTAAAGATGTCGAGTGGTTTCTCACGCTTATGTATGACTTGGCATCTCTGACGAGTATTAAGGTCGGGGTAATTCACAGGAGGAGGGAGGTAAACACTCTGCAGATCTGTGCCTCTTAATGGAGCTGGTGTGCATCTGTTGTTTGGAAGTCATCTGGAACTGACATGGGTGTGGGGCAAGGGTGGTGAAGAAAGAACCAGAGAGAAGGTTCTGAAAAGCGACGTTCGTATGGCGGTGGTTTGTGCAGCGATCGAGCTAGAGCAATCAAGGCAGCGGTGTGAATCCCAAACACTGCAGGCAAGGATGGAGTTGGAAAGATATGTGGTTGCAAAATCCCAGATCGAACAGAGACTTGCGAGCACAAAATCTTTGCTTGAGCAACGCGATGAAGAATTGAGGATGGTCAATGTGAGATTGCGAAATGCAGAACAAGCGCGCTTAGCTGCTGAACAAAGGGCTGGTTCGTTAGCTACACCTTCTCTCTCTCTTGGAACTTCTCTACGTGCCAAGTCTCCTATCTATTTGCTCCACTAAAAAAGAGTGCGTCTTCTCACAATTTTGAAATTTGTGAGCAGCGATTTTTACCAGCAAACAAACAACCTGTAAGGAAATTATGTTGGACGGTTATCTGGAGCTTGTGTAATCGGCGGAGTCAAACGGATGATATCGTGATAATAAGTTCATAATTATTATTTGAAAGCTGTATGTACAGTGTACACGTATCTCTTCAAGCCACTGAAGATGCAAAATCGGATTACGCCCTCCAACATTATGTGACCTGTGATGAAGCTAGTCTTTCTGCTGGCTGGGAACTCTGCCTTCTCCTCCCTGCTTCTGAGTTGGGCCAGTCTTTCCACCGTAAGCAAGAGTCAATCATCCCTGCCACCCTGCCCCTTGCAAGCCAAACCTCAGTGAAATTTGCCTTGATTGTCTTCTGTTGCTCTTCGTCATCTGGCATGGATTGTCTTGTCTTGTGCCACTTGCAAAGAATCTCCGCCTGAATCAGGGTCCTTGTCTCCGCCCATACCTTCTCCCTTGGAGTTGAGAGTCCCTCAATGGTTCTGCAGCACCTTTCCTTCCAGATGGACCACAGCGTTGTCTTTCTGATCATTCCAAACCACAGTTTTTCTGTCTTATGGAATTGAGCTGGGATGTTAGTCCATAGGAGTTGGATGGGATGTTCAGGGAGGGGGATCGAGAAGAGGGAGTCCCAGAGATCCGAGGCTCTTGCCCAGTATTCCGTCGCCTCTCTATAGCGTATCAGGCAATGTAGCATATCTTCTGGTTCATTTTCTGAACATACCACGCATAAATCTGAACTGTTAGGGTCGTTCTTATTCTTCTGATATGCAGCCACTGGTTGACCGGAAGAGCTACATATGAGATGTGTCATTGGAGGCTTCTGATTTTGACCGGGCGGATTGACTTGAATTTCTTCCATGGTATTTGTGGGATGTGACTAGCGTCTTGACCTATTAACTTCTGCCATCTGTTTGATCGTTGGGTCAGGATCCTTTGCCTTTGTTTTGAGGAGTAAGTTGTATCCCAGTTTTACTGTGTATTCCTGAATGGGGACATTCGTTTTGAGGCTTCTGCTTCTGTCTGGTGTCCAAGCCCACTCTGCTGGATCAAATTCCAAGTCTTGAATCGCCGCATCTGTTCTGAAGATTATTTTTGGCCATGATCCCAACACACTTACTTTTCTGAGCACGAAAGGGTTAAGGACTGTTCTTTCCACCTCTTGATTCAGGATAGATGGAAGACCTTGCGTAGAGGGGGTAATTGGGAAAGAAGTAAACACCGCCAGGGTATCCGATCCATGCTGTTTATGGGAGAATTGATAGGCCCATGATGGGGTTAACTCCTGTACCCTCACCCCCCATTCACCCGATTTCCAGGTTGAGACTTCACTCAACAATTCCTTTCATCCTTCTGGGATGCAGTTGATAATGGATTGTAGATTCTCGTCTCGTCGGTGGCAACCTTTGAGCTGGGAGGCAAGTTCCTGTTCTGTCACCCAGTCCTTTTTCTCCTCATTCCACAGATGACTCACTTTCCAAACACCATGTTTGATCCAATATAGCCATCTCCTACCTCTAGGGTTAAGGGATAGTTGGTCATCACTTTCGTCTCTCACCCACGGATTACCAAACAGAGGTTGCCTCAGTACCTCGTCTTTGGACTTGGGTTTTCCCACCTTCTTCAGCATGACTTCCCGCCATATCCGTAGCAATGCAGTCCAATATGATGTAGGGGGCCTGGCTTCGCTTGGACCGGTTCCTCTTCGTTGATTTCTGTGCCCTGTACTTGGGACTCCATTCCTTGGTCATTGCCCAGAACAGACCGGACATGTTCGCTGGTGTGGCTATGTGTGCTAGGCCCCTGATGCTATCCAAAGCCAGTTTATTCCATGCTGTACCAGGTTTAGTCAGTAGTTTGATTATCCATTTAACTTGTAAGGCTTTGGTTTCTTGTTTGGGGTCTATGGTACCAAGACCTCCTTTGGCTGGTTTCCTTGTGATGTAGTGCCAAGCTATCTTTGGTATGCAGTTCTCTTTGTTGGGGTCGCCCGACCATGTCTGCTGCATTTAACCTGCGGGTTTTCCTTTTTTCTTTTCTTGTGTTCCTTTTCTTTCGTTTTTTTCTGTTTTTTTTTTTTTTTTTTTTTTTTTTTTTTAAACAGGTCCTCGTGGTCATGGCTCCATACCCATTCTGTGGAGCCTCTGTCCTGTTCCTATTCCACCGGCTTCCGTAATCGGCTTTCAGTCGAATTTGAGCGTTTTGCTCCATACCCCGTCACTTCCGTAATCATGTATGTACCTCACCTGTTGGAGCCTACCAGAAAACAACCAAGGTGACCAATTCGGACATTGATTCTGGTTCAGCCCTTCATCATCATTATTATTGTTTATTGTTTGAACAAGCGACCGTTTCGTACTTATGGAATTATCATACTATATACTAAATAGTATTACATATATCTTGAGGATTTAGGGTTTAGGGTTTACGATGGGGGAAAAGTTACCGGATTGACGCTTCCCAGAAAGAATATGGAGCCAGGGTTTAGGGTTTACGATGGGGGAAAAGGTACTGGATTGACGCTCCCTGGAAGGGATATGGAGCCAGGCCCATAAGGACCTGTTTTTTTATGGTTTTTTTTTTTTTTTTTTAAGCATATAAACTCTGACAAAACAGTTTGTCACAGCCCCTCGTCTGTCATCCTCGTGATAGTCTGCTTTGATTTCCGTCACAGGTACCTTGAGCGCAGTGGTTAACACCACCAACGGTACTTGCGAAAGCTCCCAGTGAACCAAAAATAGGCCATGGACTTGGATCAACTAAATGATAAGGATGCTTTTGAGAACTCATACTGGTGCCCACCTCAGGGTATCAGTTGTGGGGCAGTCGTTGATGCTTAACCACAACTGAGGTTAAGGTGGATGATCACTTACAGTGTAATCAGTTAGGGGATTCTGCAGACTGTTGAGGGTTCAGCCTCCTGACGAGTCGGTGAAACTCTGACGAAAAAGTTGTCACAGCCCCTCGTTTTTTGCCCTCTTCTCCCTCTCCTCCAACGGTTTACCGCGCAGTTCTGTTTGATGATATATACCAAGACTGTGATAGCACCCTGCTACAATTTTTTTCCGGTCAGGTTGAGGGTCTGTGGTCCGGGCCGTCACTACGTGGACATGACGTGCCCCTAGTGCCAGCGGCGTGTCTGGAGTGAATTTTTTGGCTATGATAGAGCTTTCTTTGTTTCGTGGGTGTTTTGCTGGCTTGTGATGGGGTGTGAGCCGACAGTCTTTGCAGTGAAAACTGAACTCTTTCTGATCAGTGTCCTGTTTCTGTCCTCTTTTTTTCACTTAATAAAGTTTGGGGAAAATTTTGGGACAACTTGACACTGAGTTTTAGTTTGCTCTGTCTTAATTCTGACAATTCTTTATGTTTTTGTTTATGTTGCACACCTTTGGATCTTCACAGCTGAGTTGGAGGAAAAGTGTGCCGGACAGCAGCGGACAGTAGTAGCCTTGTCGTCTGAGATTGTGGAGGTGAGATTTGGACATTAGCGCGGACCGCATGTGTATGTTCACAAGCCTTCAGATTTGAGTCGGTGCCTGCTCTACAGTCATGAACCCTGTCGCCCTCCTGTGTCTGTTGTGTACCGTTTCACGATAATGCCCCCCTGTTGTTCCCATCCAGATTTGTAGAAAATAGTTCAAACTTCAAAATAGTGAAGTACTAGAAAGTTAGTAAACACTTAGAAAGTAGCAGAACCAATTACCATGTACCAACGGGCCTAGACTAGTTGGTACACCCACGAACTGTTGAAATACAGACAGACCTGAGCTCAGAACTAGATGAAATTAGGTGAATGAATTTCTGAATTACCTTCCTGAAGTACCTGGTGCTGGTTGGTTTCAACTTTGAAGATGATATCTCAAGGCTGTAACCCTTTCTACAAAAAAACAAACAAGCAAACAATTACCATATTTGTTTGTTGCAAGTTCGTTCTCGTTCCTTTTCGAAAAGTTTATTACAAGTCGTTCATTAGGTGCAGAGGTTTCCACATGAGTGTGTGCGTTGTCGTGTTCGCTATATATAACTCCACACAAATAAGCATGACTGTGCCAGACTTCTTCATCGAAATTTTACCAACTCATCACAAGGTGTGTGTGTGTGTGTGTGTGTGTGTGTGTGTGTGTGTGTGTGTGTGTGTGTGTGTGTGTTTTGAATTTTCACCACAGCTCCTGTTACGGACTTCGCCAGGGCTCGATCCCTGGTCTATCTTTTTGCTGTTTCAGCTGCATCCCGTTTTCGGCCTGGCACCCTTTTTCCAAACCCCTCCTTTGGTACCGTAGGATTTTGGACAACTGGCGCCATG